AAAATAAAAGATAAAAAGCAAAATAATAAAAAACAGAAAACTTTGCTATGGTTTAGTGGCGCCATAACTCTAAGGTGAGGAAAAAAGATACTATAATAAAATGTATAGATAGATATACAAAAATCCACAGTCATATATTTGTTTTTTATAAATAATAATTTAACGACAGTGAATTGAACGCTCATATTAATTAGGGAAATCCTTCGTGTGTTACTTTAGATAATAAAAAAAAAATTGTTCCGGTACGATCATTTTTTCGACCAATTTCCCTGCCACATACACTCATCCATACACGGACGTCCAGAAAAAATTATGTTAAATGTTATTATTTACTATGTTAAACAAAAAAATTGTTATTGAAATATATTTTATGTGCCTGACAAATTATTTGACTTGATATAAGTATACTCATATTAATCTGTAAGTGCGATATAAATAACAAAAAATCAATTTCAGTTTCGAGAAAACTGCTTTTTTTGAAATGTCGAGAGTAGAGCACAACCTCAACGCTTCGCTTATGAGGCGTGCAATAATAGTTTAAGCTGAAACAAGTTAAAGAACAGTTTGTTTTTAATATTTTATAGAATTAAAAAGAAAAAAAAAATTACTTTATAAAGAAAAATAAATAATTTCCCATTAAATAAGCGATTTTTTTTTTATTTTAGTAATCAATATTTATATATTTTAATAAATAAAAACAATAAATATTTTCAAGAAGAATTATTCTTATTTAGAATAAAAAGGTTGTGTTTGAATTTTTATATAGATTATATAATTTAAATTTCCTTCACCGCCAGTTACCTAAAAAAATTTACCTTAATGTTTCATGGGTTACAGTTTAATTTTTTTCATAAATATGATATCTAAATGTTTTAATGTGTGTATATTTTATTATATAGAATTTACTATTATTTGACATACATTAAGTGTTATGTATGAAATATTAAATGTATATAACTTGTTAGAGAGCAAGTTACTTTTTGAATTTCTTTACAATTATTACATTGGCTACATTTCCATTCGGATCACTCAGATGTGCTCAGATGACCCCAAAAAATTAATCAAAAAAACTCCCAAGTGGTTCCATCCATCGGAACAAATCAAAAGTCACAAACCAGGGGATGTGGTGACGTAAAAACGCGCACGCGCCTTAAAAAACTCCCGACGAGCTATTTCCTTGGCCGGCAGATCGTTCATCGTTGCGCGCACGCAAATTTGTGAATATAATCGTTTTCTGCATCAACTGCCTTTTATTAACATTTAACGTGAGTATTAATATAATAATTAAAACCTTTCATTAAATCAATTAATTCGCCAGAAAAGTGATGAATTAAAACACGAGCATTCATTCATAATAAATTATTTATCAGAGCTTATTGATCGACCGGTTGGATCCGACAAGTAATGTCGTACTAGGTGACCTTCGGGCAGAATAGCCTACGCAGCGAGATCAAGGCTCCCGTTGAGAAATTTACCTTTCTCTGAAATAAAAGTTTATCGTGATTTAAATAACTAGCTCATATCACCGCTGGAGCTAATGACTGTTCGGTCTGGTCAGTTTTAGGGAAATCCCAGGCTTGTTTAATTTATTTCACTGATGTGAGAGAGAACTTCAACCTCACTCTTATTTAGCGTTAATATACACGATCTACAGCTTATGTAATAACCGTAGCAGGTCAATAATGCTTATATGCAACGCCTTGTGACGCCAACCTTTTTCAAGAAGCCTTAGATAAATTTTTTTCATTTTTATTCTTGATAATAAATTATCTAGACGTCAAAGTAAATGTTAATATTAATATTTATTAATTTTTTGTTATCAAATGTGACATTTTTTTAAGCGTACAGTTGGTATTTTTTTAAAAAAAGACGGGTGACAGTGATCAATTATTCTATCAAAATTTGTTCAGTTAAAACTAGAGCAAACTAGACTTAACTGGGAAGCGGTCAATTCTCCATTTTATTCTCCTTTAAATTTTATAAAATTAAAAAAATTAATATCAATTTTTTTTTTAATAAAAATTAATTTTTTTTTAAATTACAGAATGGCTCCTCCAACGTATGGTGATTTGGGAAAAAATGCCCGTGATGTCTTCGGCAGAGGATACCACTTTGGTTTACTGAAGCTCGACGTCAAGACCAAAACCGAGTCTGGCGTTGAGTTTTGCAGCGGAGGGTTCTCGAACCAAGACACTGGAGTCGTCGTAGGAAACTTGGAGACCAAGTACAAGATCAAGGAGTATGGATTGACTTTCTCTGAGAAGTGGAACACAGACAATCTTCTGGGTACAGATGTTACTATTGCCGACAAACTTCTTCAAGGGCTCAGTATTGGATACAGTTGTACCTTCTCTCCCCAGACCGGGTAAATTTTTATTTTTAAAAATATTAATTATTAAAAAATAGATTTATTTAACCTAGTACAACAGTAAAAACTGTTTTTTACAATTTTTCATCCCAGTGTTATAAATTATATTATTCTACATCTTATTAAATAATTAAAGCTCTGATTCTAGCACCACTTGGTACTTAATTATTTAATGTTATTAAAATTAAAAACATTAAAATTAATTAATATTAAAAATATTAATTATTTTTTATTATTTAGGAGCAAGACTGGAAAATTGAAGACTACGTACAAACACGAAAATGTATCAGCCACAGCTGATTTTGATTTAAGCTTAAACGCTGCTCCTTTGATTCATTCAACAGCTGTAATTGGTTACCAAGGTATTCTTTTTTAAAAATTATTTTTTTTTTTTGTTCAAAATATTATTAATTGTACTTAACATTTAAATTGATAATTTCTAAAATAATATTCCAGATGTACAAATAGTGATTATCAATTATCAATTACTAAAAATTTTTTTCTTTTTATTTTTGTCTCTTCTTTGAAAAATCTCTTGAATCTATCTTCTTTTTACAGATGCTATTTATTGTAACATATTGTAAATTGTTGAGGGCGTTTCTTTACAAATAAATAAACAATGATTGTTTTATTGATAAATAGGATGGCTTGCTGGATATCAAACATCATTTGACGCTCAAAGAAACAAGATCACTAAGAACAACTTTGCCTTGGGCTTCACAGCAAAAGACTTTGGTGTTCACACTTCCGTGTAAGTCAACGTACTCTTTATTACGTAATATAATTACCATGTCTACCATAACTACAGTTGCTAAACCAACTTCTGATTTTTTTTTCAAAGATAATTGAAATTGCCTTAAAAATTTTTTATCGTAGTAAAATAATTACAATATTTTTACTTGATTTTTTAATGGATAGATAATTTAAAAATTAATAAAAAAAATAAGCAGCTGAATAAATAAAAAAAATTTTTTAATTTAGAAACAACGGTCGCGAGTTCAACGGATCTATCTACCACAAGGTAAAGCCTGGATTGGAGGGTGCCATCAGCATTGCGTGGAATTCAAGCAACAATTCTACACAGTTTGGTCTTGGTACCAAATACGATCTTGACAATGATGCCTGTGTAAGAGCCAAGGTCAACTCTCAGCTCCAGATCGGTTTGGGGTACCAGCAAAAAATGCGCGAGGGTACGTAGCTACTTTAAAATAATACGATAAAAGATCTCACTGCATAGCGGGAGTCTCTACAAACTTGAGCTGCCCTTGCCGAGACAAAAAGCTGGTAGACTAACTTCAGTATTTATAGAAGCTTCACGTGCTAATCTATTTATATTATGTCTCGTATATTTTCTTAAGTACGAACTAGAATTGCGAGGCTCAGTAACAATTTTCAACAGTGATAATATGGATTTTTTTCACTTTTTAAAGATATTTTAATTTGTACATTAGGTCTTGCAATTGCATTACTGAAATTAAATGTATTATACGTTTACAATTCCTCGCGAGTTTTGCAATTGTATCAGATATTTGGTATAAATTTATATATGTTAAATTATAGTATTATTTTCTTAGGTAAAAAATTAATTAAAAAACCAAAATAATATAATTTATGCCAAATAATTAAATATAAATCATTTTATTTGTTTCAGGTGTAACTCTCAGTCTCTCAACGAACATCGACGGCAAAAACTTTGGCTCAGGCGGCCACAAGATCGGTTTGGCTCTCGATCTCGAAGCTTAATAACTTAATATATATTTTCTCCATCATAACACCAACTTTCTGTCCCATTTAACTCTAAAAAAATCGAGATTAATAAAAGACGTAATTAAAATCAAGAGAAGAAATTTCGTCTAATGTGGATCAATACCAATAATTGATTTAAAAATAAAAAATAAAAAATAAAAACAGGTAGATAAAACGTTAATCAGAGTAACGTAATGAGCGACAGACTTAAATAAATAAAAATGAATTAAAAATAAAACAACTCTTTTTTCTGTCTACGTATTCGATCTAGGTACAGTTAAATATTAAAATAGCGGATAAATCAACAAAGATTAAAATGAATAAATAAAATCGTTGCGTTTAAAACTCTAAATTGTATTTTCTTTTATCGCTTAAACGCTCTGTCAGTTTAATTAGTATAAAAATCTTTAGGAGTAGACTTTGCTTTGTAAAACACCAGCACCGTTATAAAATTATTATTATTATTGATTCAAAGTCAGGTCATTGTTTTTTATTTTATATTACGGTGAGACAAATCTTTGTTTAAAAATGTGTTCTGTTAAAGTTGTCAATAAAATTAAAAAAGACGCTTAAGTTAAAAAATAAAGTTAAACACAGTTGTTATGTTAAGTATCAAGTATTCATTTATTTACATTATTAATTTTTAGAAACAGGAAAAATAATATGTAACTGATTTCTTTTACAATGTGTGTTTACTGCAGAATGGAACTTTACTTTGGTAAGCAGTTTTATTGAATCGCTTAATAAATTTTTTTTTACATCAAAACACTGCATCAATTTAAAAAACTTATTGTTTTTTTTTTTTATTTTTATTTTTAATCTTATTAATATTTATTATTAAAATTAATTTATGACGATTAACATTTGTTAATGGACCAATTGATCCTCCATGGCTTGAGCAATCCAATCTGGTTGTGTTTGAGCTATTTTTTCAATTATTTGGTTTACTTGGTAGCAAAGAGATTGTATTTGTTTGTCCCATGTTGGTAAAATTTCACGTGCTAAAAATAAATAAATAAATCAATTAATTACTTGTCTGCTAATAATAAAAATCACAATTATTTTAACTTAAAAAAACTTACTCTCAAAATGAACCACCGAATCAATCTGATCAATGTAACCATTCATGCGGCTCTCTGTGATCATCTGACTGGCAATTTTCTCAGCATTAGACGGGGGAATTTCCAGTAAAGCTCCCAACTCTTCAAAAGTAATATTATTGTAAAGTTTACTGGCCGAGAGGAGATTGTGTTCGATGACAGCGCGGTCGAGAATTGTTGATCCAAGTCCATCACGCGTTAAAGCTTTCTGATGAGGCTGTAAAAGCGCTTCGAAGTCTTGTAGCTCTGTGCGACGGATTATACGGTCCAGGTACATTTTTTCAAGGATTGCGTACGCTGGAAGCTGCTGACAACGCTCGTCTTTGAAGAGAGTAGCGAGCATCCGACTTCTTTGCTGGCCTGATAATTAAATAAATTGATTAATCTATATTATTAAGGTTTCATATCATTCTCATTGATAGTCAATTTATTATGATTAGTATTTAAGCTGCATTTAAAAATGCTCTATCTCTGGATATATAATTAAGAAATGACCTTTTATCTTGTGAACTATTGACATTTTTAAAGATATAAGCTCATTCCGATGTTACATTCATCGAGACCTTTCATTTGAGTACCCACATCAATTTTTCATATATTTATATATATTATATATATGTATATATGAAAAATATATCAAAAATGCATGTGAGTACTCAAATGAAAGCTCTTGATGAGTGTAACATCGGGATGAGGTTATATCTTTGAAAATGTCAATAGTTAAGAAAGTACAGTGCAATTTAAAGAAATTACCTTTTATCTTGTTAAATATTGAGATTTATAATGATATAAGCTCATCCCGATGTTACACTCATCAAGACCTTTCATCTGAGTACCCACATTGATTTTTCATATATTTTATATATTTATATATATGTATATATGAAAAATATATCAAAAATGCATGTGGGTACTCAAATGAAAGCTCTTGGTGAGTGTAATATCGGGATGAGCTTATATCTTTAAAAATGTCAATAAAGTACAGTGCAATTTAACAAAAGTCATTACTTAATAAAGCAAAATTTTAATTTTTTATAGTTCACGTCACGGCAGTCAAATAGTGACTGCAAGGTTGCTAAATAAATACTATCTTTGTGACTAATAAATTGTAATAATTACCAGCTGAAGCAAGGATCGTGCAAATAAGAGCGTTACGAAGAGCCGTCATACGTTCGTCTTCGTGAATAATTGACCTGTATGACAATTCGTTGTATCTTTGTGCAGCTTCGATGAACTTCCTACGGTAATCCAGCACTCTGGCGTAGCAAACCTTGTAATAAATCTGTAGCTGTTCATTCTTAGTTTCTGCTTGTAGTAATGATGCTCGGTTTATAAAAGCTTCGGCTTGAATCGGATCATCATCTTCCAGATACAGTCTTGCTATTTTTAAATAAGTTTCAAGCTTATAATCTACTGTATATTGCCTGTAATTTTCAATCATTATAATTAGACATATTTTTTCATAAAAAAATTCATTTATAATAAATAAATATTTATAAAAAAATAAATAATTACTTTTGGCCAGTTTCTAACGGGATTCCCACTAGAACATTGGCAGCTTCTCTCCAGTCCTGTTTTCTTTCATAAATATTAGCTAAATGCTGACGAATACTAGCAACTTGTTCTTCGAAAGATATTACTCTAGGTTGTACCTAAAAATAATTAAAATTATTAATTAATAAACTTACGGTTTAATTAATTAATTGTAAAAAAAAAATAAATACTTTGTCTAAGGTATAATGTGAGACAGCCTTTGATATTTCATCATCTAACTGCGCTAATCGATTACTAACATCAGTTAAAACTTGTCGTGAAATAACTAAACTCACATTTTCATTAACAACTGTAACAATAAAAATAAAATTATTAATAAAAATTATTTTTAAACTGACTAAGGAACAGTTTTTCAATCCAAGATAAAATTTTATCCAGGACAAAATTATTATTGCCAGTATATTTATATATAGATATATTTTATCATTGGATAAAATTTTATCCTGGATTAAAAAACTGGCCCTAATAATGGGTAAAAAAAAATTACAAAAATAAACATAATACGGAAGTTAGCCGACGTTTTTAATTTTTTTAATTTATTAAATAATAACTAAAAAATATTTGTTAGAAATTGCACTTATAGTTTTTCAAGTTTTTTTACAAATGAAAATTTTTTCAAGTCATTTTATGGATAAAAAAAAAATCTAAAAATATATAGATGTCGGCTAATTTAATTGTCATAAATAAACTTACTGGCTTCAATAAAAATTTTCAAATTATCAACAAGATCATCTTTTGACGTTGACAAAATTCCGTCAAGGATTGACCGGTATCTAAAAGAAAGTAATTAAAAATAAAATTAAACTATCTAAGATAAAAAATAATTGACATTAAAAATTGGTTATGTAAAATAAAAACAAAATCATACTTTTCAGCTTGATCCTTGTGAGATCCGCCGGAATTAGCGAGATTTGCCAATTGTTGGCGCACCACGGCTACAGTCATCACCATCCTTACACTAATTAAATCTTAAATATATAAATATAATCGTTTATTAATAAATAAACGGTTGGTTATTTATCTGGTTTTACGCATCAAACGTGCAATTGCCTCTAGTCACTAATAAACCATAGAGCATTTCAATACAATCACAGATTCGTTCAATCAGGTACACAACCACGACCTCTAGTTTTTTTTCTCTCTTCTTCTCAGATGCTTTTGCTACTACGTGACTCAATTCTACAACTTTCATTTATAAATTTGTTTAAATAACTTTTATTTATTAAACAAAATTTATCTATTACAATTTATTAAATTGCACCCAGAATTTTCTTTTTACTTATTTTAATTTTTTATTTTTGTATGTCAACAGCTATCATCTTCTAACTTGAAATTCAAGAAAAAAAATAATTACAATCAATTGTTTAGTTTATGATACTGAAGTTAGCAAACATGTGGCAATTATTGAAAAACAAATAATCAAAAAATTGACACATGTAATTTTTATTAAATCTTTTACATTAATAATTAATTTAATTCACACTTTAAAATCATCAGATATTTTCAGTATAATTTATTAATATTACACTAATGTTTTTTAATAAACATTTAAATTTATGTTAATCATAAATTATAATCTATTATTACTTATAATTATTAATAATATCAAATATATTATAATTATTTTTATATTTTTATAATGGAACCCGCTTAATTACTGTAAGGTTCAGTGTATTGTTTAAAATAAAATAATCAATGATTTGAACAAATATAAAGATTTTTCAATTAAAATTATTTAAAATTTAATAATAATACATTTTATAATTTTTAGAATTTTTTTTAACAAATAAATTATGGCAAAAAAAAAAAATAAAAAAAAATGACATGTAGAAATTTTAAAAAATTAAAAAATTCTCTAGTGTCATTTTTTAATGTCAAGTTTTTAACAAGTGAAAAAAATTTTTTATTTTTTTTTAATAATTCTTTAATAAAAAAAATCATAAAAATTTTTAAATGTCAGCTAACTTTATTTTCATAAAATTTAGTTGATTTTTTAATTTAAACTATTGTATTGTTCATGATTTTTATAATTAACTTGCAAATATATATTTAAAAGTCGGCAACATTTTCAATATTGATTTGCAAATTGTCTGTATGTAAAAGTAAAAATTAAATCTGAAAAATTTTCATAAATTAATTTAATAAACATTTGATACTGAAAAGTGTCAGACTTTTTTGAAGTTGGTAGTTTTTTTTAAATTAATTTATAAAAATACTAATAATAATAATATCTTTACAGAAGCCACGTGCTGTGCTTGAAAAACCAAACTTCGCTTGAAGTATCAATCTTACCAATAATAAGTGATAATTTTTACTTCTCTCCCTTTTTAAAAACAACTTGAGTCAGTACAAATTAAATTCTTAAAAAAAAATGTTTACCTTCCATCAGTCTAAAAAAAATAAATTTTATTAAATTAAAAATAAAAACACTAATTAATTATAATAATTACCATACATACTCATTATTTATCTTAAAAGAAAGTCTTAAAAAAATAGAATTAAAATTTTTAAGTTCTCAAAACTACTTAAAAATCCGCCACCAGGCGTCAGGACACTCGTAATTTTATTTTCGATTTTAGTAGGCGACGAACTTTATTGTTTTTCCGTTTCCCGCGAGAATACGCGTCACATTTGCAGCAAATTAACAAATAATTGACCTTCAAAAGTATTTCGAAAATTAAAAACACCAACCACCAACTCTTCACGGACTTCTGATCTCCAAGAATAATCTAAAACAATAAATAAATAAATAACAAGGTAATTATAATATTTAAAAAAAAAATAATATTTAAGAAATCTGTTGATTTGATTGGGCACAGAGATGGCGGTAAGAGGCTGACGTGTTTTTAGCCGCGATGCAAAGCAAATAAGTGGTAAAATTTTACAAAGTGCGCGAAAAAAAATTTAACAGAACCCAGATAAATCGAGTAATTAATTAAATACCGCCATTGATTAACCTTTACTGATAATTAATGATCAATATTGAACCTTGTTTGAAGCTTAGTATCAGAGATAGACATTTAATTAGGACAATTGGTGATATTTTATAAAACGACCTTTGCTAGTGTTTATACATTAGATATAATACATTATTTAACCCACCAACAGCAGCAGCGGTTTACATTCCAGTGCATTCTGGGATAGCAATGGTGGGCGCGTGATTTTGAACAAATTCCGTGATAACAATATAACTAACCAGGTATGTTCTACTCATTAAATTATTAATATTATTTAAATAATTCAACAGACACAAGCAAGTGTTTTTAAACAGTGAGTGAAAATTAATACAGCTGTTTAATTTTCGTTATTAAATAAAACGCTAGGCACGCCCCCATCTTGCATAATGAACACAAAATATCAACTTTTAAAATACTGAGGTTATGTTTACTATTTGTGTTATTTTTTTACAATTTATTTACTCTAAATTAACTTAATTAACTCTTAGGAGTAATTGTCAATAATTACGCGCTGTAGTTGTTTTTTTTTTTTTTGGAGGTAATTTGAGGAAGTTTTTTGGAGTTGGAGTTTTTAAATGTCTAAAAAATGTAAATTATAAATATTTGTTAAATGGAAAATGGCGCGTTCGAGCAATAAATGGCGCTAATGTCTCTAACCATTGGAGTGTTCCTTCGAATTTATCAATATTTATAACATTTTTAAGGCTTTTATTGGTGATTATTTTAAAAATATCCGATTATTTTGCCCAATTTAATAATTTTTCAGGATAATTTGTAAAAATTTTGATTAATTTTAAACGAAGGTATTTTGAATTTGAATTTTTGAATTTTTAAATTTAGGCCCAATGAATGAACTTATCGTTTATGATGTAGGCCCCGTCTAAATCATTGCAATTAATTCAAGAATCGTGTGTTACTTTTTGTTACGACATTTCTTCCGGAAAAATTAAATATCTGAGTTGAATTATTATTTTTTTTTTTTTCTAATACAAATTTTAAATAATTAATAATGATAATAATAATAATGGTTATATAAAAAATAAACAAGTAATTATTAATTCCAGGATTGGCACATTTGTGCAATGGCGAGTATAAAACCAGAAGCTGCTTTGGAGTCGTCTGGAGAGGACGCTCTGAATATGGAGCACAGTTCTGAGCAGTACACCACCGAGTATGACCAATTCGCCAGCATCGAAGCTGAGTTGGAGTCGATGAACGCCGAGGAGGTGACGACCACTGAAGAGGAGATTGTTACGGTAGAAGAGCACGTGGAGACTGAAGAAATCAATGAAGATGTAGAAATGGCTGACGTCTCTGAAGAGCACGAGGAGACTGAAGAAGCTGAGATCGAGACTGAGATTGAAGCTGAGCACGAACCTGAGCACGAGCCTGAGCATGAACCAGAGCCAGAAGCAGAGCCAGAGCCAGAGCCAGAAGTAGAACCAGAGATGGAACAAGAATTAGAACCTGAACCAGAGTTAGAACCTGAGGTTACTTTTAAGCCTGTTTCTAAGGTTACACAAAATACGTATCAAAATAAATCAGCTGCTCGAGCTTCTATGTCTAATATTCAGGTATTTAAATATTTTTCTTTATTTATTTACTTAATTTATTATTTTTTTTTTTAAATATTAAAGATAAAATAAATAGTTAATTTTTTTTTTTTAATACTAGTGATAATATAATTAATTTTTTTTTTTAATACTAGAGACAAAATAAATAATAAATTTTTTTCCTTATAATTTAGCCAAAAGCAACATCAACACCATCAACACAGAGCCAGTCAATAATGCTAGTATCCCCAGCAGGCCAAGGACCAAGTCAATTTCTCAAAATATCCCACTCAACACCAACGTCAAGTTCCCAATTACAAACAATAGGTCACTCTCTAATAACCGCCAAGTCTGCTGAGGGAAATATAGTACACCTTAGATCAGCTCACCCCGGAAAGCCCCACGTCGCTACTTGTCAATCTGGAAACATAACTCTGACTAACGTCCCGCCAATCTCAAAGATGACTGCGACGTCAATGAAACGACCAGCGCAGTCTCAGAACAAGAATGTGTTCGCCAAGATGATAATTTCTGGAAGTAAAGGCCACGAAGTTACCGAGGGTTCTCCAGCAGGTCCTACTTATAAAGTCGTAACTTCTGGAGTGAGTCAAGGAATTTCCAGCTCTACCAAGACGATAACTCTGGCCCAAGCCCAGCAGATGGGTCTCATGCCACCTGGGAAAGTCCAACACATTCTACCGTCTCCTCAGCAGAAGGGAATCGTCAATAAAGTCATTCAGACTTCGTCGCAGCCGCCAAAGTTGACTCTCATTCCCACAAGTTCCATGAAAACTCCGGCTAAAATTCTTCCCGCTCCAACTACTCAAGCCAGGTCCTCGCAGTTTGTTAATTCCAAGCCCGGAACGCCGCAGAACTCGCAGAAGGTGATAATCAGACAAAGCGCGCTTAAACCCGGGTCAGTTGTCAGCAGCGGGCAGATAATAAGAATTCCAGCTAATCAAAATATTGTCACGTCAAACCAACTTCACCAGATTCAAGTTCCTGGACGGCAAGTCCAGTATGTCAGGTTAGTTAGCACGGCTCCGGCGACAACGTCTAATGTTGTCACTGTTGGTAAGCCCAAGGTTGGAGGGACAGTTCAGTCGGTTGGAATTACCCAAAAAATTGGCGGTCAGCAACAGATTATCAAAGTTTTACCGCTCAACACTTCTGGGAACCATCAGCTGAGGACAGTTGCTCCCAAGTCGACAATCACCACCAGTGGTGGAACTCAGAGATTGCTGATACCTGCGTCGGGAAATTCAACGAAGAATGCACTGGCCATTCCTGCCTCTGCTTTGAGCCAGCTCACTTCAGGACAAGCCGTTCTGTCGACGGGCTCTAACATGGGAAATATTGTCGTTTTGCCGGCTCAGTACATTCAGCAGCAGAATGCAGACGATAAAAATAAATCTACTGTTATTAGCTCGCAGTCCTCTTCGGGAGGTAACGTTCAGTCGATAACTATCAGCGATGTTCCGAAAAATAAATCTAATTTGGAGCCCAATGGTATCAGACCACGGAAGCCCTGTAATTGTACCAAGTCGCAGTGTCTTAAATTGTAAGTCCAATTTTTTATTTAGTCAGTCTGAAAGTCTAAAGATTTTTTATAAAAAATATTAATAAACTCACTCAACAGAAAAAATATTTAATCCATTTTTAAGTAATTAGAACGTCAATTGTTTAAAAGGCTAGTATTGACGGTTGTCTTTTATTAATTATTCTAAAATAAAAGACTATCGGGCTTTGTACTAATTATATACTAATTCTTTCTGTTAAGTAATATTTATAGTACATTTATCAGCATCGATATGTTTGCTTTAAGGTACTGCGATTGCTTTGCAAATGGTGAGTTTTGTCACATGTGTAACTGTAACAACTGCTCGAACAATCTCGGAAATGAAGAAGAGAGACAACGTGCTATTAAGTCGTGTCTCGAACGCAATCCAAGTGCTTTTCGTCCCAAGATTGGAAAAGCTCGTGAAACTGGAGATGATATACGAAGACACAACAAGGGATGCAATTGCAAACGCAGTGGGTGTCTTAAAAATTACTGCGAATGTTATGAGGTAATTTTTTTTCTTTTACAATCTTATTAATTTATTAGTTTTTTATTTGACATTTTATAATTTTATTCATTATGTTTTCTCTTTACAGGCGAAAATTCCTTGCTCAGGTAATTGTAAATGTGTAGGCTGCAGAAATATTGAAGATCCAGCTGTTGAAAAGAAAACTTTGAAAGATTTAGCAGAAGCTGTTGAAGTTAGGGCAGCTCAGTTGACACTAAACAAATCAAAGATTCAACAACTTTCGGAAATGGCTTTCAGAGTTCCGGCTGCTTCTAATTCTGGTGCTAGGTATGTGTTACTTATTTTTATTATAATTTATTATTTTATGACACTGCAGTTAGCAGATACTTGACAATTTTAAAAATTGTTTTTTTTTTTTTTTTTTTAAATAAACTAGTCCTAGAAAATTATTTTAAAAAAAATTGCATTAATAATTTTTTAGAGCTTTTAAAGATGAAATTTTTAAAATAAATTTTTTTTTGTTATAATTTATTTGTTTTAAAAATTCTAAAAATTATTACGTGTTTCTTAATTTCAATATAATTATATTAAAAATTTTTTTTATTACTTAAAAATGAATAATTAATAATTGAAAAAAATTTTTTGCAGACAACCATTTAATTTCTTGACTGACAAAGTCGTAGAGATAACATGCCAATGCTTGATGGCGCAAGCCGACGAAGCTGAGCGCAGTATGTTCGACGAGGATACATCCGAGAGGATGATAATCGAAGAATTCGGTAGATGCCTGAAAGAAATAATTGACTCGGCCCACAAAGCCGAAACAGCGACTTAGCAGATGACCCCTGAATCTCCAACTATGGGGTAAACGTTTTGAGGATTCTGATTACGTCAGACACCATGTGTACAATTTATAAATATTAAGCGTTTAATTAAAAGTAAAAAATAATTATGTGGTGAACTAACGGGTTAACCAAAGACGGTTTGACGGTATTTTTGCATTTCTTATTTTACAAGTGATAAAACACAACATTTATATTGAATTATATTAATTTTTCAAAATGATTAATCCTAAATACCTTTAATATTTATAATTATTATTATTATTATTATTAAATTGTCTAAAAGGTTATTTTTATAAAGTGCTATCGTATATTTAACTAAAATTAGTTTCAATATTTTTTTACACTAAATAAATTTCATCACAAATTAACCGCTCGTAAAATAATAATAATTTAATTATTAATAATGGAGATATATAGATAATTATATAAATTTTGGTAAATGACGTAATTAAATGAATTAATAACGATATTGTAATATAGGTGAAAATATAAATACATTTAATATAGATATTAAAATAAAATATTCGTTGAATTAATTATTGAATATTACAAAAGATATATTATGTTAATTATTAAAGATTGCAATGAATTTTTTTTTGCATAATATCTATAGTAGTATAACGATATAACAGTAATAATATAAATTGTTATTGCTATAACTAATATAATATTTAAATTTTAAATTATAATTTAGTATAAATGTATTCTTTTAATACAATTACCATCAATGGAATTCATTAAAACAATTACTTATTGTAGCTATGAAATTATTTTATCGGTAATTCATATTTTAAATAAAAATTTAAGGATTAAAAATTAGCGGTTTTTATTTCTATCGTAAATCTCAGTGTAAATAAATTAGGTGATCGGTAAATAAAGTGTATTAAAAATATGTATAACTCATATATGTAATTTTAAATAAATATTCATTTCATATAAATTTATTTCATTCATTTTATTTAAAGCAAGTCTTACTATTTTATCGTCAATTTTTTTAAGAATTAATTTTAAAAATTAATGAATCATTAAAAAATAAATTATTAAAAGTATATTAATGTTTACCAAAAAAAAAAAAATTAACTTAGTACAAAATTGATTAAAAAACAATTTTATTTATTTAATTTAAAGTAAGTCTTATTATTCTATCTTGCCAATTTTTTTTTTTGAAGAAAATTATTACAAAAAATTAAAAAAAAAATTGACATGTAGAAAATTAAAAAAACTATAAGTCCAATTGAAAAAAAATATTTTTTAGATCTAATTTAATAAATAGACAAAATCAAAAGATCAAAAATTTCGGCTAACTTTATTGTTATAATTAATGAATCATTAAAAAAAAAAAAAAAAAAAAAAAAAAAATAAAAAGTAAAATAATGCTTACCAAAAAAATAAAAATAAACTTTGTACAAATTTTATTAAAAACCAATTTACATTAAAATTTAACAATTTTCTTGCTCTCCTTTACAACTTCATTCTTTTTACTTTTATCCAACTCATCAATCGTCTCCAAAGAATCAACATCAGCAATAGTACCAAGCGTGATCCTAGCTCCTTCTTTCTGTTCTATCAAAGCAGGACAATCCTTCTTAAGATGCGTAACGTCTCCACAACTACTGCAAGCGCCTCCTTTAGGATAAAGCCCATTAGGATTATCCGGACACTGCTTAGCAATGTGTCCTTGTTCCCGACAAATGAAGCAAGTTGCAAACCTAAACTCTTCCTTCTTATTAACTTTGCATTCAAAATGCGTGTGCTCAGTAGAACCGCACTTGAAGCAGATCCCAGTAGCAGCTTCCTCCCGTCCCAATTCAGGACAATCCGACAAGTTGTGACCCGCCTTCCGACAATGGAAGCAAACATTCTTCCTAATCCTCGCCAAAGCTTTCTCAGCTTTACGTCTCTCCAGTTTCATCGCTCTATCAATCTCAGGTTTTGGGATTCCGTTCATCACCAATTTCTTCCTCAGTTCCTTTAGTCTCTCCGCGTCGTCTTTCCTCACCGGGAATCCGTCGTGCAAGACTATCTCAACTTCCATTCCATTAATTATCACCTTCTGCGCTCCAGGTTCCGGTTTTCTTCGCTTGTGCTCCAAGTTGTCGCGGATTTTCGCTGGTCGCTGCTTAACTACCCTTTGGTTAAATCTTTTGTCGTTGTAATTGTTGGGATAATTATTATTTTCAGGCTTAGAATTATCATTATTATTATTCTTAGGCTTAAATTTAGATTTACCATCACTAGATCCGAATTTAATGCTACTGTTCCAATCATTTCCTTCGACATTAAAAGTAATTGGTGTGCTAACTTCATCTTGTTGATTAGAATTATCATTTTTTATTTTATTTTTTCTATTACGTTTTTGTCTTTTACTAAGTTTAACATTATTTAATTTTTTTTCTTCTTTATTTTCATCAACAATTGAGTTTTCTTCAGAATTTGCAGTAGGTTTATTTTTTTTCTTTTTAGAAACATTTTCTTCTTTATTATTAGTAAGCTTATTTTTTTTCTTCTTAGGAACATTTTCTACAACATTTTCTTCTCTATTATTAACAATTTCATTTTTTTTCTTCTTAGAAACATTTTCTTCTCCATTATTAACAATTTTATTTTTCTTCTTCTTAGGAAAATTTTCTACAACATTTTCTTCTCCATTATTAGCAAGTTTATTTTTTTTCTTCTTCTTAGGAACATTCTCTGTTTCACCAGCAGTCTTTTCAACTTCTTCAGGTTTCCTTTTTCGAGATTTATCATTAGAATCATTAAGAGACACTGAATTATCAAGACTTGCTTTTTTCAAGGCACTTTTTTTCGGAGAATTTTTTTCAACTTTACCAGGATTATTTTTTTTGACACTTTTTGAAGGTTTGTCAGTATCAAGGGTCGCCCATTCAGTCTTATTCACCACTGTGTCCCAGTAATAAGGATCATCCTTTTCTTTCAATAGTTCCTTGGCATTTTTTGGCTTCTCTGAACTTTCCTTGGCTTTGACAGTATCCAGCTGCTGTTTCATCACGTGCCATGGAGTTGCTTCGCAAGGTAGCCGTTCATTTGACGCCTTGGAACCTTTCGCTCGTGCAAATCTTGTCATCTGTGAATTATATTATTTATTATAATTATCATTATCATGTAGATAGAAAATTTTTACAAATTTTTTAAGTGAAAAAATTATAATAAAAATTCTACATGTAAAAACTAAAAAAACTAAGTATAAAAAAAATGTTTTTATTTGTAATTTAATAAATTAATTTAAAAAAATGGTCAATAGTCTGCTGATTTTAATATAATAAATTTTTTAGATTACTTTCTTTAAAAATTAAAAAAAATAAATTGTTAGTTTTTCAATAATTATTATTGATATAAAAAAAAGTTGGTAGTTATTTTAATAAATAAATTTGAAGTACTTACATTTTTTTATTAATTTTTTTAATAAGTAGATTATTCGATAATTATTAATAATTAAGTATTTATCACCGACCACATGGATGAGAAATAACCTCACTTTTTATACTAAGTTCCTAAACTTTGAATAATTTCTGACTTGTTAAGAAATTCTTCTGCGCATGCGTGGAATAACCACGTGTTACAAAAAAAAAAAAATATGAAAATTTGTCAAAGTAGCAAAACTATTCACTAGCGCAAAACTATGAAGTAATTTATTTTCTATAATATTATAAAAACACTGACCATAACTGACATGAGAAATGAAAATTAAGTTAGCCGACATTTAAAAATTTTTAGAATTTTTTTTTATTGAAAAAATGATTACAAAAAAATAAAAAAAAAATTTCACTTGTTAAAAACTTGAAAAACTATAAGTGCAATTTTTTAAAAATATTTTTTTAGTTATAATTTAATAAATTAAGCAAAATAAAAAAATCAAATGTGTCGGCTAACTTTATTATTATACATGAGAAATTTTCTTAGAATTTCGACGTAACTTCAAGATTTTTATCGTGCATTTTAATTTAGAGGATTGAGTTAAAATTAAAAATATTTTGTTTTTTATAAATTGCACTTGTAATTTTTTACAAATTAAATTTTTTCAATAAAGAAATTCTAAAAATTTTTTTTATTATTGAAAAAATTATTATAGAAAAAAAAGTTAGCTGACACATAAAAATTTTTATAATTTTTAAAAATAAATTTTTCGGAATAAATTTTTTTGTTAAATAAAATTATAAAATAAAAATTATTATAGAAAAAAAAAGTTGCTGACACATAAAAATTTTTATAATTTTTAAAAATAAATTTTTCGGAATAAATTTTTTTGTTAAATAAAATTATAAAATGGTCAAGTGACAGCTAACTTTAATATCATAGCTTTGCGCAATATGTACTCCAATAAAATAGTTTAATAAATTAAAAAAAAAAATTTTTAATATATATATATTATTGAGTAAAGTTTACTTTTTTAAATTTAAGTTCCTGAATTAAAAGTAAACATATTATTGTATAAAAATATTTAATTTAATAAATGAAAACAAAAATTTAAGAAGTATAAAATATTTATTTTAATAAAAATTTTTTTTACAAAAAACAACCTTCACAACTACTTAATAACTATTTGACGTAAAAAGGCAGAAGAAGAAATAAAAAAAAAAAACATGGTTCTCTGCTTTTACTTAGACTTAATATTAACTTAATAGTTCTAAATCTTGATCAGAAAAATAATAATACATTTGTCTACGAAAAGTACTTGGAAGAGCCTTTCCGAAAATATCAATAAGAGTAGCATTGGCTTTCATTAATAAGTTCTTCCTTTGTGCCGCTTTGGTTAGATAATGCTTCACCAACTCTCCATACAACGGAAAAGTTAATTTAGCTTTTGTCTTCAAACGTGCTAAATTAACTTTACTAACACAAGTCAATTTCACGGCTAACTTATGCTGGCACATGGTGAGTACATCAAAAAAAGTAATTTTATGAATATTAATATCAACTTCTTTTAATTTTTTAATTTCTTCGTAGCATTTTTTGATGAAAATATCAAACTTTGTATCAATTACTTCAGAATAAGGGCCTGGGAACAAGCTAAGGGCTTCCAGTTTGGCAAAATATCGCTCCATATAACATATCTCTCAATTTCACCAAACTCTTCAAAAGGAAGTGAACAATACCCTTGAGTTCCTACAATGTTATCAAAGTCAGCACCGTGATCGATAAGAAACTCCATAACTTGTACTTTTCCTATACGCATAGCCAGATATAGCGGCGACACATCATCCAGATTTATTGAATTGACATGAGCACCTGCGTCAATTAATAATTCCATCAAGCTTATATTTTTCTTGTCTATAGCGATAGCCAGCGGAGTCATTACAAACTTACGATCATAGTGATCATACATGCCTCTCGAGAGACGACAAGCAGTCACCTTATCGCGGTTAGTTTTAACATTAACATCTGCATTATTTTTTAGCAAAAATTTGACCATCTCTTTGTTTTGATTGTCCACCGCGATGTGCAATGGTGAACTGCAATTTTTTATGGATCGCTTCACGTAATAATTATCCGTAACTCCTATTCTTTCCCGCTTCACAGCATTATTTATATTTGTTAAAGCGTATTTATTTATTTAAATATTTATTTATTAGACAGATATTTATTTAAATAAAGCGTAATTATATAAAGAATTCAACATCTAAAAATAAAAAATTACATTCAATTATTTTGAAGTTTATTAATTTTTTTTTTTTTAATTATTCTAATTGTTTATTTTTAATTAGTAAATATACTTTGAAATTTATTTGATTGTAATTAAATATTAAATTATTATGATATTAAAATTAACAGAAATCTGTTAATTTTTTTAACTAATTTATTATGAAAAAATTATAATAAAAAAATTTCACAGCTAGAAATTATAAAAAAAAAATTGCAAGTGCAAATTTTTTTCAAATAATTTTTTTTTTTACAATCAATTTGTAATAAAAATTTTAAGGAATGTTGGAAGTCTGCTAATTTCAGTATATCATTTTAATTTTGAAATCAAAATAATGCTTAATATATTAATTTACTAATTACTTCAAATATTTACCCCCACCCCTTTCTCCAATTTACTTAAAGTAATTAAACTATACAATATTTTTGAATTTAGCTTACAAAGTATACTTAATACAAATATGTCTACTAAAAAAAAATTGTAAATTTCACAAATAATTTAATATTATTAATAAAAAAAATTTTTATTTGTAATAAATTTTAAAATTATGAAAAAAAAAAATTTCATTTGTCAAAAACTTGAAAAACTGTTAGTGCAATTATTAAAAAATATTTTTGAGTTATAATTTAATAAATTAAAAAAAAATAATAAACGTCGGCTAACTTTAGTCCTAATATAAAATTGAGATGAAATGTATGTGGCATCAAACTATTCGTAACGTGATTGGTTGAATATATCATAATCCACTCTTATAATTTAGATGAAAAATATGAAAATATATACATTGATGAAGACATTTTATTCGTAATGTGATTGGTCAAATATATCATAAGCATATTCACACGCGCGCTTGCGCGCGCAACGTATACTAGTCCCATAATAAAATTGAGATGAAATGTATGTGAAACCAATTTATTCGTAATGTGATTGGTTGAAAATATTTATTCTCATTCTGATTGGTTGAAAGTGAATATAATATACATAAACGACACATAAATATACCATGATAATAAATATGAGGCGCGCGCTTGCGCGCGAAAATTAAATTCTAGTATTACTAAAAATTGACTGTGTTAGCTAACTCCAGAATCATTCTATAATACTAAAATTGAAGTCTACCCGACGATTTAAAAAATTTTTTATTATTGACAGATAATTGTATAAATAAATCTATATTTAGAAATGAAGAAAAAGTTATAAATGCAATTTTTTAAATAACTTTACTTTTATTTATTAAATTTCACAAAACTTTATAAATTATAAATATAAATTAATAACAGAGTATATCTTTATTCTTCCCCAATAATAAAAAGTAATTAAAAACAATTTACAATTAATAAATTATTATAACAAAATTCAGTCTAATTTCAATCACAGCTAGATCATTAAATTGTATAGCTATTTTTTTTTTCTAGATTAGTTTCCGAGTCCGTATCTTCAGATTGATCCGGAATCATGATAGAAAGAATACCAGTAGCGAACGCTAAAATTCCGCAGAGAGTAGTCGGCGCCCACCAGGCGACTTTTCCAAGCAAATAAACAACATAAGGCGCCGCTAGTGAACCTATTTGCGCCATCAGCGAGCTCGTTCCTACTGCAGAGTTCCTCACTTCTGTAGGAAACAAGTCCGAGGTAATTAGTATAATGATACTAGAAACTGCGTTCAAAGCGAACCTTCCAGCCAATGTTATTCCCACTATTAGACCTTTATGATCGTCTGGAACGGCTACTATGCTTATTAAGCAGACACAGGTTATCAGGTACAGAATTACAGTAGACTTGCGTCTACCCATAAATATCAAAATTATTGATGCTACGAAGTATGTCGGCATCTCCGTGATACCCATCATCAGCACGTATAGGTAACGGTTAGACTTGTAATTGTCTATGTTTAGCACTGAAATATTAATAGGTTAAAAAGAAGAAATAATTTTACTTGTTTGAAAGAAGATGTTACTGAAGTTAGCTGACAACTGTTAATTTTAATAATTTTTATAACAAATTAATTTAATTACACTAAAAAAAAAATGCTATAAAAAATTTCTTTTTAATTTTCACATGTAAAGTTTTTTAATTAAATTTTTGGATAGTAATTTAATTGCTATAAAATTCTAAAAACTTTTTAATATCAGTTAACTTCAGTTTCTTTAAAAGAAGAAATACTTACCAAGGACAAAACTTGTCATGGAAGAAATAAACCACGAAAAATTCATAGAGAGCAGCCTTTTCCTCAATTTCGAGTTTGAGAATAAAATATTGAGATTTTCGAGGCTATTTTTGGAATAAGTATCATCAACTTTTTTTTCTTCCTTCTGGAGATCAATTTGTGATACTTTTAATTTCGTATATTTTTCTACGATTATTTTAGCTTCTTCGAAGCGATTTTGCGTTAGAAGCCATTTTGGAGACTCGGGAATGAAGCTAAAAAAATATTTTTAATTAAATCAGAATTATAATTAGTAATTAATCTAATGAAATATTTAATTTTAATATTTTATTACAATGTATAAAACACCATAATAATTGCGCTGATAGATATCGCAAGCTGTAGATGGCGCCAGTGAGGTAAATAGTAAGCGATACCGGCGACAATTATCGTTCCGATAGAATATCCGACGTTGAAAGCCACTCCAAGCCATCGTTTGTACTTTGAAGTTGATATTTCTGTCACTAAGAAGACAACATATGAATAATTAGAATTATTAATGATAGGTATATATAATTAATGATACTGAAGTCAGCAGATATCTTTGAATTTTTTGGATTTTTCTAACAATTAAATAATTATGAAATTTAAGTTAACACTTGACAATTTTTTAATTTTATTTAACACAAAAATTTGTTCTGAAAAATTATTTTTAAAAATTGCATTTCTTCTTTTTTTAAATTTTTTCATGTTGATTTTTTTTTTGCAATAGTTTATTTGTTATAAAATTATTAAATATATGTTAAATTAATTTTAATGAAAAATTTTTAATGAAGAAATTTCGCATCTAGAAATATAAAAGAATTACAAATGAAAATTTAATAATTTTATAAAAAATAAATTATGGCAAAAAAAAATTGACATGTAGAAATTTTAAAAAATTAAAAATGCAATTTTTTTAAAATAATTTTTTTGTTAAATAAAATGAAAAAATTGTAAAGTGACAGCTAACTTTAATATCATGTGCAAGTATTTTTAAAATATTAAAAAAAAAAAATTATTAGATGCCTGGATTAAGTCATACTGTAATAATATGTAGGTACATATTATTATTGTTAATTATACTTACAAATAGTCAATGAAGAAAATTGAATAGCTGTCAAACTCATACCAATAATGAATCTAAGCAACAAAAATGCCCAAAACCAAGGCACAATTGCACAAAGAGGCCCAGCAATTATTTGCATTAACACTCCAATAATAATTGACCTTTTGCGACCATATGTATCGGCAAGTATTCCGAATATTCCTGAGCTCACAAGCTTTCCTAGGACAAATACGAGGTAGGAGTTTGCTCGATACATTGCTTTTTCACAGACCAAGTCCCACTGAAAGAATAATTTGCAGTGATTAACATTATAATAAGATTAATTGAGCGGAAGGCTGGTTCAGTAGCCGTATGCAAGCAGATAAAAAATTGAATAATTAATTAATGTCTTCTTTAGAATTACTTTTTTCGTGAAGTTGTTAACCTCATAATTTATTTTTCAAGATCAATGTTAATTAATCATTCAATTTTTTTCTACATGAGTAATTTTATTAATAAGAACAATTAACAGAGGTAATTACTTCTTCAACAATTGTAAGCCATTTACTATCTCCAAAAGTAAACTTCGAACAAGTTATCACTTCCAACTTAGATTGCAAAGGCTTTGTTTGTTCCAAAGCATCTTCGAAGCTCAAATCAGCTAGATAAGTGTAATTATAATTATATTTGTTACAAGATCCACTTGCTGTGGAGATATTTTTAATTTGACTTGCGCTCCAATTGGCGCTTCCAAGTTCCGGGATTGAACATGCGTATTCTGGAATCTAAAGGATAAATTTTGCAATTAAAAAATTTTAATTGATCAAATAATTATGAAAAAAAAATAATAATAATAAATGAAACTGAAATTAATAATAATAATAATAATAATAATAATAATAATAAAATTAGCCGACATTTTTGATTTTTTTATTTTGCTTAATTTATTAAATTATAACTAAAGAATATTTTTAAAAAATTGCACTTCAAGTTTTTCAAGTTTTTAACAAATGAAAAAAATTTTTTTTAATAATTGTTTAATAAAAAAAAAAAATCATAAAAATTTTTAGATTTCGGCTAACTTTATTTTCATAAATTAGTAGACATTTACCACCTTAGAAATTTATTTAATAAATAAATTAGATCCAAAAAATTGTTTTTAAAAAATTGCACTTAAATTTTTTTACAACTTCTTCACGTTTAATTTTTTTAATAATTTTTTTGTTGCTACAATTTATGTCTCTTAATTTCAGGAATGTTAATAATATAAAAAAAATAATAATAACAACAAAAATAAGACTTTTTACCTCAGCAGTAAATATATAAGACACAGTGTGCAAAGCACTGAAGAATGTCGAGAGCACAGTGAAGAAAAACACAGTCCAAACTAATTTTGAACCTCGTCCTAACTCCTCAAGCGCTACCGAAATATCTACATTTTTATTTGCTCCACTGTCCATAATTTAATTAAATTTGTTTAAATATTGATAAGATAATAAAAATAAAATTAATAATGCGTAACTTATCAGTGATAACTGAAACCCGCGGAATTAAGAACTAAAATAAACCTAACTGCAGTTCGGCCATTTGAGAACTGACCAAAATTTGGGAAATATGCAATAATATATACTCTTATTTATAAACCTAATTCAGAAAAGTTTCATTCAATTAAAAGCAAGCGATTTATCATTATTTTTAAACGGTTGTTTGTCTTAAAAATTCTTTTATCTGCTGACAACACAAAAAAAAAAAATACATTATCATATTTATTGTTTAATTTCGTGCTTTTTAATAAAACACGCAATAAATCATTTCTTTCGTCAAGTGACAAAAAATGAAAACAATTTTATGTAAGGCATTGTTTTTATTTACTGATTATGATAAATAATATGCATAATAGTATAAACTTTTTTTACAACATTTAAAAATATATATCTAATTACACATTACAAATATATATATTTATACTTATTCACTCAGGTAATTTAATAAATTACTGAGTTTGACTTAAACAAAGTCTACATCAATCACAAATATCATCTACATATACAATCACAGTTATTTTTTTCTATTTTTTCTATCAACATTTTAATTGATTTAATTTAATCAATATTAATAACAATAGTAATAATAATAATTATTATAAATTCCAGGAGTGCTGTAATCTCTTCTTTTTTTTTAGGATAAATTTTGGCAATTAAAATTTAACGCTTAGTCATACTCGTAGTAATTCAGTGTGCGTGGAACTCTTCTTAGCATTGGCACGTCATAGACGAGGTAAAAAAATGCGTTCGCAATGTGACCTAGTGCACGCCACCAGGCATTTATTTTGTAGTTCAATTCCTTCATTATTGGCCATCCGGATCTACGTCTTGCTGATTCGGGATTTCTGGTGAGTTAATTGCAAAAAAACGCTATTGTTAATTAATAATGAATAAATAACATACAAATTTTAGGAAATTCCCGACAAAATCTTAAAAAAAATTTTTATACAATTAATGGAATATTCTAGTCTAGAAAAATAAAAAATTTTTGAATTGCTGAAATTTGATTTAAAAACTTTAAACCTCTTTTTGAATAATCTACCTCTTTTGAGTAGTCGCCATTTTGTCGGGAAATTTTTTTTTGTTCTTACTGTTGACCAGAAAGGATAACACTAAAGTTAGCTGACGTTTTTAATTTTTTGATTTTTTTTTCAACAATTAAATTAGAATAAAAGATTTTTTTTTTAATTCTACTTTCAGTTTTTTACAAATTAATTTTTTTTTATTTTTTTGTAACAATTATTTCAATAAAAAAAAATTCTAAAAATTTCTAGATCTCGACTAACTTAATTTTTATCCAGAAAGAGGAATCGTGACAAGACAGACATGTTTTTTTTTCTCTCTACTTTAACAGTGTGTAACTTTTTAAAATACATATATATATATATTTTTTTTTTATTTTTATGTGGAATTTTAAAGTAAAAATCAACAGAAAAAAAAATTTACTTGAATTAAGTAAATAATTTTGAAGAACTTCATCTTCTTGGTTTAAAAAAAAATAATTTTTAAACTAAGAAATTATTTTCGGGTTTAGTAAATTTTACTTAATTTAAAACAATGAAATTCTTCAAAATTATTTTCTTAGTTCAAGAATTTTTCTCTTGATTCAATTTAATTTTTTTTTCAGTGAAGATATAATAAAAAAACGGATTATTAAAAATTATTAACAATTAAATTCTTCAAAATTATTTTCTTAGTTAAATAATTTTTCTCTTGATTCAATTTAATTTTTTTTTTTTCAAAGAAGATATGATAAAAAAAATGAATTATTAAAAATTAGATTGCTTTTATTTTATCAACCGTCAAAAAACGTCTAAAATTCAGGCATCTAAACTAGAACACCTCCTTAATACCAAAAGAAAACTTACTGATCAATGATCTCCAAATTTTCTCTCGTCTGATTGGTATAAGTGTACATATAACAAGACGGATAAGCACTGACAGTGGTAACTTCATGCAACTTCCCAGAAGAAACTCCCACACTGTGACCCTTGACAACCGTAACTTTACTCTTCGAGTCTTCTTCAACATAAGTGACCTCTCCCTCGAGAACATTCAGCGAAATATTGCTAAAATCCTCACTGAAGTAATTCTCCAGCACCATTCCAGGGTAGTCAGCGACAAAGAAGACATCTGTGTAATTAGACCAAGAGTACACGTGCCTCGTAATCTCGTCCATCTTCTTGCGATACCCGCTGAACTGGGTGAGCAGCGGCATAAGAAAGCTGACCGGCTTAAAGGGGTGCCAGTCAACCATCAGCATGTCGATCTCTGGATTAAAAATCCGTTGCTGGAATCTCCCATTCAGAGAGCACCGTACATCAATATAAATACTCAGATTTCCAGATATTTGGGACCACTCACCCCGAGCGTGACTCATACCCAAATTTCTTCTCTTCAATACTTCTTTTTTCCTGTGCAGCAAATTATTTTTCAAGCACTGAGCGTACTGTATCATCATATCTCCATGTTTTGACCACTTGTCATTTTGAACCCAAGCCTGTGGGTCTACAAAGTGGTCCTCATTTTTTTCATTATCGTGAACCCTAACTACGATCAAAACAGTGTCCCAGGAATGGACCATCATGTCCCAAGAGTAGCCGTACAACCCAGGAGTCCAATTGTTGTAGCCTTTGGTGATAAAGTGGGAGTAAGGTAAGAAAAATTGTAAAAAAATATGAATTAATAATAAAATTACTACAAATTTTTGTTTTTTTGTAGGTCTTGCATTTTTAATTTCTAATTTTGACTCAAAACTCGGTTCCTTTATTTTGGAGGGTATCTTTTCTTCGCACAAGGAGTTTTCTTCATTTATTGTACTTTTTTCACTAGATCCACAATCACAGGCTTGATTAATTGTTTTTGAAGAAACAAACAGTGTTTTTAATTTACTCAAAACTTTTCTAGGCCAGTCAACGTGGCAAAAAAGCGGCATCGTCGCTAAACAAACGTACGGAAACATTCCTATGCTGAATAATCTTGAATTCATAAGGTGAAAAGTTGTGCAGAAAAACATCGCAGGAAGTCTAGTCTTGTCGAAAAGCATCCAAAACCCGACGGTAAGGTCAAAGATGAACCCGAACCAGTGAACAATGAAGAAATCCGTTTGTTCTGTGGTAAGGAAAATCTTGAAGGGGTCAAAGACCCAGTGGTCTGATAAATTAGTCATCGCGTAGCCTTCCAGCCACTCGGGGTTTGATTTTTTCAATCCTGCTAGGAAGTACAGGGCAAAAAATTGAAACTTTATGATGAAGTAATTCCACAGAGGAATTTTTTGGCTGGTTTTACTGTCTTGACTCAGCAGCGCGTCGATGGAGAAATATCGATTCGCCTGGGTGCCTAATAGCAACAGTGTGACTACTCCGTAGAGGTAACTGTGATTGTTCCACAAACTTTTGTCTAGAAGAAATATGTACCAGTAGGGGAGCAGGAAGGAGATGCAAGCTAGCTTGAACCAGAGTCCAAGCATGATTCCGAAGGCTCCCAACCACATTACTGTGAATAGAAGGATCATCCAGGGTAAACTTGCCGGGCGCATCCCGTGGATTAGTGGAAAGTGACAGTTGTATGGATCTCCCCATTTTAGATCAATGTCCGCTAAACCTCGTTCCTCCACCACGTCTAACACCATACATAATCCTGTAATTATGTTTTATCTTTTAGTTTCAGGTTTGGAGATTTTAAACAAGATTATTTTTAAAAATTCAAGGTAATTTGTTTGAATTTTTATTTTATTTATTTATTTAACTTTAATGCCAAGACAGTATAGCCAAATGACAAAAGTATAAAAAAAAAATTATAATAAAGTACACGTATGAATAATGAAGAAATAAAATTTTAAAATTTTAAATATTGAGAAAGAATCTTTTTTCTTAAATTTGAAATTTAGTTATGATAAATACAACAAAAGTATAATTTGAATATAAAAATTAAAAAATAAAGATAGATAGATAGATTATTTATTTATGCCAAGGTCGTGACCGAATGGCAAGTATAAGCAGAAAAATACAATTTAATTACAATGTTTTCTTATTATAGTGCATAGTATAAATACATAAATATATAATGGATTTATTTAATAATTTTATCGATTTAATTGAGCACCATGAGACAACTTATTGAGTTATAGATATAAGTTAAAAAGATAGTCATAAACTTTGTTTTTAAAAATTTCAATGCTTGATGCATTGATCAACTCTTCAAAGAATTAAATTCAGTGGTGTAAAATACAAAAAATATGATAATTTGGGATGATAAAATCGTAACAAAAATGTATTTAATCCCATTGAGGACACACGGGGTCTATTAAAATTTTGAGGTAATTTTTAATTTAGAAAGAGATTTATAAATGAGACAGTCTTATTTACGATTGATTTTAGTGATATTCATGAAGATATTTCTATTTCTTTATTGCAATAATTATAATACAAGAGTTTTATGACAAAAAATTAAATCATTCTATATTATTTTGCATATTTAATATGTCTTATTCTCATTTTAAGCGGCCGAAATTCGTAACTTCAAACTTCAGAATAAATATATTTTTTTTTTCAAACTTCATAAAATATTAATTTTTTTTCTAAAAATATATTATTGTTTTCCGAATAAAATGCCGTTGATTTTTTTTCGATATCGTAAAAATCAAAATTTCTGCAACTTTTTTCATAAAAAAAAGTTCTTTTTTTCTAAACGATTTTTCAGTATTTTTAAATTATTAGAAAATTAAAAATAATTATTAAGATATTTAGAAGAAATGTTATATAAAAGTTTGGTGCAAATTATAAGTCAATACATCACATAGGAAATGAATTAGAAAAGTTTAATTTTAAAACTAAAAATTGTTAATGTAAAAAAAATTGCTTACCGAATAATGCACGAACAACTCCCAAACTAGCTGGATCAGTTGGCCGATACAAAAGAGCAACAAACTTATCAAAACTTTTCAAATCTTCAAACTTAAACCCGCAAGCACTTTCAAAATTCTTAAAAAATTTACTACCACAGAATTCAATTGCAAAATTACTTTGATTTTCTTCAACTTTCTTTAAAAATTCATCTTTCACTTCAGTGTCTTCATATTGTAGCTTCTTTTCAGCTTTCTTCTCTTTGATGACGTCGACCTTACTTTTCCTTGTCATAATTTACCTCGAGTACCTGAAACACGCAACAACTATTATAATTTTAGTTAGATATGATACATTACTTATCTTATGAGTAATAAAAAATGTTTAGAGAACAATAATGCCAATAATTGAAAGATTGCTTAATCTCATATGCAGTTATGACTTATAGCCAATTGACATTTTTACCTTCCCTCTTTTTGCTCATTGACTGTAAACTCGCGTGACAATTGTGTAGCGCAAGTGCTACGTAAGCTGCTGTGTGTGTTATTTAATTCCGTGATTTGTAATCATAATCACATGTGTCACATACGCGCTATACTACCAGCACGTGTATCGTAAGTTTCTGTGTAATCGATTTTGATTTATTAAATTTTTAATCTCGAATATTTTAATGAAAATACCAAAATAATATTTATTAATAGAACAAATCGATTATTAATTCATTGAAAAAAAAATGAATTAATTTAATTTTTGTCATTTTTTTGTTTAAATATTTTGCAAAAATTTAAATAAAAAATAAAACTATTTTAAGTCTTGTAAATTTGATCTAAAAATTGGAAAATTACCTGCATCCAGTCTGCAAAATTAATTTAAAACCACGAGACACTTGTAAATGTACTTATAAATAATACAAAGTTAACTATTGTATGGTATCGTCTGGAGCCGTCTCTAAATTATGTGTAGAAGGTTTCGCGATACAGAGTAGACAGAGTAGACAGTGGACAGAGCAGCCGACGTCGGAGGCAGATGAATCAGTACCGTCACGTCGCCGCGGCAACTTCGTCTGACTATTGACCCGCGCCCGCGCAATTATATTTTATCGTTACTGTATTGATACTTGGACGTCTTGAGGTTGTTTTAAAAAGTGCATGTGCACTTTTTGCAATCAGCTTCATGCACTCCAATGGAGTGTCAAGTATCGGTGCATCTATTGTCGTGGCACGTAAACTATTGAGTTACAGAAAATGAGCTAAGATTTTATCAACATTTTTATTTTTCAATTATTATAATGATACTAATTTTAGAATTAGCAGACTAACAATCTTTTTATTTTTATTTAAATAATAAACTAGTCATATAAAATTATTTTTAAAAAATTGCATTTATAATTTTTTAAAGATGGAATTTTGTAAATAAATTTTTCTTGCTATAATTTATTTATTGAAAAATTTTTTTAAATTATCAGATGTCTCTTAATTTCAGTATTATTTATTACAATGATAAAATTACCAGACTAACAATTTTTTTTAAAATAATAAACTAGTTCTAGAAAATTATTATAAAAAATTGCATTTATAATTTTTTAAAGTTTTTAAAGATGAAATTTTTTAAATCAATTTTTCTTGCTATAATTTATTTGTTAAAAAATTATCAGACGTCTCTTAATTTCAGTATTATTTATTACAAAAATTAGCGGGCATTTAAAAAATTTTGATTCTTTGAATTAAAAAAAAGTTTTTGAAAAACTGAACTTGAAATTTTTTAAATTTTCTGAATGTCAAAATTTTTTTAATTAAAAAAATTTTTTAATTTTTAGATGGCTAATTTAATTTTTATCTATTATATTATTACTTATTTTATAATGATAGTTTTTATTGTCGCAAATAATTTTATAAATCACGTCTGCTTTGACTTGACGATTAAAACAGCACAAGTACCGAGTAAAATCACTCTGCCGCATTTAAAAAAAAAAAATGGACTCAGCGACGTGTCAAATTAATGTCTTAGTCAAATACACGCAAACGAGGAACAAGAACCCTTGAGCAGCAATGTAAATTAATTTTCTCGCAGCTTATTGACAAAGTTCAAAGCTCCGAATTAATATTTGCTCAACTAAAAATATCATACGGAATATTTTGGAGCACCTGGATTCGAATAATTTGGGTCTATTTGCTAGGCTATTTATCACGGTTTATTATTTTCTATTGTCACAAGCCAGACATGTATATGTAATATAATGCAAGCGTGTGCCAGGTCCAATACAAGTCATTGTCGTCATCCGACCTCTTCTTTTACTCTATGTATATTACATTGGCTCATGACAACAACAAGGGCTCAACACTAAATTTAATGTACGAAACCTAACCATGTCCGATCATATTTGCATATTGTATTTTTGATGCTCTTTCATGTTTTTACTTTTCAAAATCCCTCCCTCGAGTATTGAATTTCGAGTTCGTTTAACCCTACATGTCTGTCCTCCATCAACTCAAAAAAAAAAAAAAAAAAAAATAAAACGTTAACATAAATTGAACGCTTTGTTCTAACACCATTTTTTAATTCTTTTTAAAAATTAATCTAATCATCAATAAAAATCAATCTGACCATTTTTTTTAACAAACAAATTTGTACTAAAAAATTATTTTTAAAAAATTGCATTTTTCATTTTTTAAAATTTCTAAATGTCAATTTTTTTTTGTCATAATTTACTTGTCAAAAAATTTTTTAAATTATCAAATCTCTGCTAAATTAATTTTCATAAAATTATTTTAAAAAAAATTGCGTTTTTTTATTTTTCTTGCCATAATTTACTTGTCAAAAAATTTTTTAAATTATCAAATCTCTGCTAAATTAATTTTCATAAAATTATTTAAAAAAAAATTGCATTTTTTTATTTTTTTTTAATTTCTACTTATCAATTTTTTTGCCATAATTCATTTGTAATAAAATACTTGTAATGATTAAATTTTTCCAACTTTTCCAACTTTTTTTCATATAAATTATTTGTTAAAAAAATTCTATAAAAATCATTAAATTATCTGCTAAATTAATTTTAATTTTCATAGTCTAAAAAAATAAACAGCCGCACTGACATTTTAGAGTCCTCTGCTCGTCAAGGTAAAAAACCTTTGGGTAAGTTTACTGTAGCATTACCCAGTCCAATAAAAGTATTTGCTTGCGTAATATTTCACTGTCCCCCGCGGCTCGCAGGACCTCGTTTTCCAGGGGGAAGACAACAAAGGAACCCTTTACCGAGCCCCTAGCAGCCAGCCAACATCTCATACATCATCATTCATGGGTGGAAAAAAAGCCAAGGGGCACCTTGTGCATTAACCGGGGGACCAGCTTCAACATCTCTCAAAAGCTCCGTACTACTGGTACCCGCTTTTTATTTATAATTTATTATTTATTACTTATTCTCATTATTTATCGTTGTTCCTTATAACTTACAACCTTCTTTTGGATCTAAAAAAGCGAACAATTAATTTTAAGCTTCAAAAAATTAATGATTAATAAAAATTTGACGTTTTGGTTTGCTTATCTGTCACCAAACGAAGTTTAGTTTCTTCCCAAAAGAAGGCGGAGCCGACTTGGATGAGATAAACAATGACAAGCAAGAATCCAGTAAAGGGTGAAGTAAAATGAATGTAATTGTTTGTTTTTTATTTGAGATATCGATGCATCAAAGTGTCCCAACGGAAGAGAGTGTCCTAACGAGGCCGGTTAATCTGGCTCTTTCAGTTTAAAGTTCAGGCAACCCCTTATGCATGTCAAAGCACGGATGACTGATTGTAAAACCATGGAGTAACCCACAGAAGGGTGTCCACACGGAATATACGGAGTTACCGGCAATGAAAGATGAGAGTTTTAAATTAATCCTTGTAATCGACGTGTAATCCTTTAAAGCGCCGTGACGTAGGGTTCTGACACGTGCTTTGCTTGGTCAGCGTCTACACGGTGGTGAGCTGATTTGTTTGTTTGTTCGTACATTTATACGGTTATTGATTGTAATTGGTTATTGTTTCAAGTGGGTTACATAACCTGTTTTTGGGGTTGGAACATTGTTCGGGAAGAAATTTTATAAGCTCAAATTTTTACAGACACTCGGATAATGTTAAAATGCCCATAATACCAAAATTAGCCGACGTTTTTAACTTTTTGAGTTTTTTTCAAAAATTAAATTTTATTTAACACAAGACAGTTAATCTAGTCAATGAACATTGCCAGAGGATACCAACTTCTTTGAAGATTTAATGTCTACTTTCTAACAAAGATAAAAAATACGGTTCTAAACAACTATTACATTCACAATATCACCTATTTTATTTTTATTTTTACTTTTAGCTTCATTTTTATTATTTATGTTTATATTAAATTCAAATATCACTTAAAATATTTTATTGTTACTTTTAATAATACCAAAATTAAAATTAAAATAATACCAAAAATTAAATTAGAATAAAAAATCACTTACAGTTTTTCAAATTTTTTACAAATGAAAAATTTTTTTTATTTTTTTACAATAACTTTTTTCAATAAAAAAAACTTCTAAAAGTGTTTTAATGTCGGCTAATTTAGTTTTCTGCAGATATTTGATAATTTTTTAAATTTTTGTAACATATAAATTATGACAAGAAAAGAATTATTAAAAAAATTGACAGGTAGAAATAAAAAAACATAAAAAATGCAATTTTTTAAAAATATTTTTTTTGTTAAATACAATTAAAAAATTGTCCACTAACGACTAATTTTAATGTCATAAATGTCCGACATTTTTAAACTAATTAATTTTTTTTTAATTAAAACAATAAGTATATATTTTTAAAATTCTTAATTTTAGGACAACTTACTAGTTTTTTTAATTAAAATTAAAGTAACAGATATATAACAATTTTTATTGAAAAAATTATGATAAAAATGTCAATTGTAGAAGATTTGAAAAACTATAAGAGCAATTTTAAAAATTTTAATTTAATTAATGAAAAAAATTGTCAAAAGCTCTGATTTTAGTCTCATATTTTTATTTACTACTTTTTTAGTAATTTAACAATTTAAAATCAAGAATATTTTCTAAAAATTGATTCCTTTATAAATAATTAATTTTTTATTTTCCAAAAAAAAAATTTTCCCAGAGTAAATTTCACTTTTTCCCAGGATATTTCCCGGCATCAAAATAAAATCCTCTTCCAAGCTTCAAATAACAAAAATATCTTTTTCTTCCAGGTGTCCTTCTCACCATAATTGACTATTGTCAAAACCAGAGTCCGTTCTTGACCTCCTGAGCCAAAAAATAA